GGGATTCCATGTGCACAGTCACTCATGCCCTCGTCACCTCTCGCCTGGACTACTGCAATGCTCTCTACATGGGGCTCCCCTTGAAGAGCACCCGGAGGCTCCAACTGGTCCAGAATGCGGCCGCACAGGTAATTACGGGAGCTGCATGGCGCTCCCACATAACACCGCTCCTGCGCAAGGTGCACTGGCTCCCAGTGGTCTTCCGGGTGCGCTTCAAGGTGTTGGTTACCACCTTTAAAGTGCTCCATGGCATAGGACCTAGTTATCTTCGAGACCGCCTGCTGCTACCGACAACCTCCCATCGACCTGTGTGCTCCCACAGAGAGGGCCTCCTCGGGGTGCCATCAGCCAAACAATGTAGGTTGGTGACCCCCAGGGGGAAGGCCTTCTCTGTGGGGGCACCTACCCTATGGAACCAGCTGCTCCCAGAGATAAGGAGAATCCAAGACCTCGGTGCCTTCCCATGTGCCGTTAAAACTTTCTTTTTTCAGCAAGCTGGGCTGGCTTAACATATTTTTAAATATTTTTAATTTTTAATTGGTCTGTCATTTTAAACTGGGGCCAAATTAGTATACATTCTTTTAATTGTTTTTAATGTTTGTATTGTATGTTTTTATCTGGCTGTACACCGCCCTGAGTCCCTCGGGAGAAGGTGCGGTATATAAATTCGAAATAAAATAAAAATAAATAAAATAAAAAGTTGTGTAGCTAAGATAATCTTATAAAACTAGCAAGTAATGGTTTAGTAATTAGATGAACATATTATCAAATGTATGTTAACCATATATGGAAAATTGGATGTATGTTAACCATATATGGAAAATGCATGATCTCACCGAATCCTTTGTCTTAGAAATGTATAAAAACAGTTGTATCAGAGCTCTTTCCTTGTTCAAAGTTTCAGGTATAAATCTGGCTCTGAACCTTGCGCAATAGAACTGTCTCTGGCTGACCCAGGAATGTTGTTTGGTCCCTTCATTCCACAACAAGACTGCTACCACAAGAGAATGTGGAGAAGCATTTGCTGTGAATGCAAACTTTATTTATTGAATTGGAACAGCGTGGAATACAGATTCCTGAGTCTTAGAAGGTACTGTTGGTGTTAAATAGTATTGATGAAACGTGGGACATTGTTTCAGCTGTTTTTGAGTGCAAACCAGAACAAGACTTACAAATGGAAGCTCTTAAAGCCTGTTTGATTTCTGAAGAAAACAAACACCATTTTAGAAAAAGCCATGAGGAGAAATTCCTGAGATGGGGGTCCAAGGAGTAGAGAGAGAAAAGCAACAGACAGCATGTCTGTAGAGATCGGATTACAGCCCAGCAAAGTTTTTCTAAAAAGCAAGAAACAGGACAGCAACACTGGAGGTGTTTCATGTGTAGTGATAAGACTCATCTAAAGAAAGACTGTTTGCAAAGAAGAAAGACAACAGGACAAGCTGCTGTTCCAAAAGTTAGCTATTGTAATAGCAGAGACAAATGTTTAATTGACAGTGGGGCTAGTCAAACAATTGTTAATAATTCTTAATTGTTTTTCAGAATGGATGAGATGCAGTAGCCTTAGCAAATGGCCAGAAGGCTAAAGTCATTGGAAAAGGCAGTGTGCTGATTCCATATCTGGAGAAAAAGTTTAGTAACATGTTACGTGTGCCCAAAATGGAGCATAATTTACTAAGTGTCCCCAGTCTAGACAAACAAGGTTTTGAGACCACATTTGTAAATGGGAAGTGTCTTATAAAACGAGATGAGAGTGTATGTGCACAGGGCATAAAACAGGATGAACTTTATGTGTTGCAGGGACAAAAGGTTCAATGTGCCCAAACATGTGGAAATGTGGCACAACATGATTCATGCATTCATCTCTTGCACAGAAAGCTTGCCCATGCCAGTTTCAGAGTTTTGCAAAAGATGCAACAGTTTGGAGAAGGGTTAAACTTAAAAGGACATAAGGCATACTTGGACAGTGCAGTATGTAAATCATCAAAGTCCAAGGCATTCCCAGTAAGCAAAAGTAGCACAAGGCAGACAACAAAAGCTCTAGAGCTGGTACATACAGATTTGGTTGGGCCAATGCAAGCCAGTTGGGAGGAGCAAAGTATGCACTGGTCATTGTATGCAATGGGTAAGCTTCGTAGAAAGGAGATATAAACAACAGGTATGTCAGCTGCAAACTGACAAGAGGTTCAGAATTCATTCAGAGAAAAGAAGTTAGATTCTTTTAAATATAAATTTAGAACTTAAATATAAAATATAAATATAATATAAATATACAGTATATAAGCATGATGACTGCTGCGATGTGCTCTACATGGCAGTGCCCTTGAAGACTATCAACTGGTGCAGTATGCAGTGCATGCCTTAGTACAATGATGACTAACCTTTTCACCGTTGTGTGCCAAAAGCGGGGGTCGCATGTGTGCGTGCCCACACCCATAATTCAATGACCCCCCCTCCCGCACTCCCCCTGCATTTGGCACACGATGGCCTGACTTCCAGAAGTTGGGAAATGAGTCGTTTCCGGCCTCCCGAGGGTGGGGAAGGCAGTTTTCGCCCTCCCCAGGCTCCTAGAAAGGCTCTGGAGCCTGGTGAGAGCGAAAAACGGGTCTTCCGGTCCCACCGGAAGTTGGCAAACAAGCTGTTTCCAGCCTCCGGAGGGCCTCCGGGGGGGGGAGGCCATTTTCGCCCTCCCCAGCCTCCTAGAAAGGCTCTGGAACCCTGAGGAGAGCGAAAAACAGACCTTCCCCACCACCCAAAGGCCCTCCAGAGGCCAGAAACAGCCTGTTTCCTAATTTATGGTGGGTCCAGAAAGCCCGAAAATCAGCTGGCCGGCGCACGCTTGTGCACTGGAGCTGAGTTAGAGCAACACTTGTGTGCCCACCGATATGGCTCCGGGTGCCACCTGTGGCACGCATGCCATAGGTTCGCCATCAAGGCCTTAGTATGTCCATGTAACTCCTCTGCTTTGCATATTGCACTGTTCCCAGTTTAGTCCTACATAGCATAGGGCCTGGTTATTGGTTGCTTGTATCTGCCCAGTCAATTTGATCTGGCAGGGCTGATTTGGATCTAGTTACCTTCAATTAAACAATGCCCTCTATCAAGACCCTGAAAACTTGCCTTCTCTGTCGCAGTGCCTGCTCTACAGAATGATGTTACCCCCAAGACCTAAACACCCCATCCTGATATTTTGAAGGTGCCTGAAGACTTGGTTCTTTATCCAGGCTTTTGATAGGGATGATTGAAGCCTCATTTTAATTTAGGTAATATTCTTTTGTTTAAACCTGGTTGGTTATACTGCCATATCTACTTTTGGGGGTGTGTGTCTTATATTTATTGTCATGTTTTCATGCTTTCTATCATTTGTAAACTTCCCAAAGTCTCCGGGAGTTGGGCAGCAGATAAATTTAATAAATAATAATTACTATATATCCCAATTTTTAAAATGCTACAAATTTCCAATAACAACTTACCTTACAGGATTGTTCTTGTGGGGAAAATAGAAGGGAGCATTGTGTATATTCACTGCCTTGAGTTACTTACAAAGTAATAAAGGTGGGCTACGTACCCATCTAATAAATAGATTTAAATTATGTATTATTTATTTATCTAAAAATTCAACAGTAAAATCAATTACCTGAAAAAGTGAAGTCTCTAGAATATGTGCAAGCAGGAACTAGACTGCCATCTGTTGGATATCCTTAACTATATTGAGTAGTGGTGCTGAACACAATGGTCTCTATTTTATTATTCTATTTTAATAGGGATAAAAAGCTGTTAACTGATAGCACTAGTTAATAAAGGAATAAAGCAATATGTCCAAATTGTATTATAAATGAACATTTAGCCTGGAGTCTGAAAACAGATTTCCCATTCAATACTGAAGAGGACATGAATTCTCTTTTACAGGTTAGCTGACAATATGAATTTGAATGTTCATATGGATTATGAACTGGATTATGTTATTTCTATACTATTACCTGTTGGTGTAATTCCTCCATATCAGATTAACATTTAGCTTTGTTAATTGTTGTATTTTATTCTTTTTAATATCTGCTCTACAAGACAAGCATGTTTTCAAAATAAGAAGTTCCCCATTCCTTTTACAACATCTTTCTCCAAATCTATAACCTCTAGATATGCAAGCGTATACTGGCTAGGAACCACCGAAGTTCTGATTCAGGACTTCTGGAGGTATTTAGGTTGATAAAAGCATCCATTCATTCAGTCAATCGTCTATCTCAATCTTGCGATCAACTTTAAAATAAATACAGCAGCTGAACAAACTTTTTAAAAATGTGGGTGTTTTAGAGTTTTTCCTATTTCATTTTTGCATCATTTAACAGAAGGAAGAGTTTATATTTTGTGACTTTTTCTTAATTCTAATAAAGATAATACTCAACTACACATTCGAAAGTGTTACTTTAGTTTAATCGATCATCGTTTTATTAGTCATTGAGCTGTTCATATCTCAATGAGATATGAACCGTCTTCTTTCGCCTCTCTTACCGTTCCTATTTATTTACTCGGTAACAAATGTTGGCATTCGAGGCTGGATAAACTAGCACGAGCGCAATACCGTCCCCTCTTCACCTAGTCCTAGCCTATCTCTAACTAACAAGCAAAAACTCAGAGTAAGTACTGCTCTACAGTTGATTTCAGACAGCTCAAAACACGCACGTTGCGTGGGCAGCACCAAAGATGGAGAAGGCTATGTCGCCAATTTTGTTCCTGAAAGTACTAAGGAAACTTTCTCACCTTGAACATAGCGGTGAAAATGTTTTCTCCTGATGTGTGGCCAGGGCTGATGACGTAAAACGTATGCGCTTGATATACGGGTATTATATTGTAACGGTAAAAGCCGGCGGATGTTACGTGCCACTTAAAAAAAAATCACTACTCAGAGGCGGGTTTTGCCTGTCCTGCTTTCTGTTAAGTAGAGCGGCTGGTATCTAGGCAACCGCTAAAAGCGGTTGAACGGGAGACGTTGAGAAAACGGGTCTTCGAGCCTAAGTGCGGTATGATGTGGAACCATACGCCCATATCGCCTTTCGTCCTAAACGAAAAGGAAAAGGAAAAGCAGAGGTAAACCTTCCTCCCTATTATTCCAGGAGTTTGACTGTAATATGAGACCGCGATAGCATAACCAGATTTTGAACTCTGTTGTGAACGATAACTTGTTCTCTTTGTAGTTTATAAAATCGTATAAGCTATATATTAGATCTAGTATACTTGCCTAAAATAAAAATCAATAGTCTCTTTTCAACATGGAAATTGAACTTAACTTTATTGCCTCCAAACTCAGGGAACCCGATTGTGGCACGGAACTGATAAGAAGTTGATGCCTGAATCTGAGACACACACACGGGCTTCTTTACCCACCTGAAAATACGAATCACCAAGTAATTCAGGCAAAGCAAAAAAACATTTATTAAAGGGAGGGTCAAGTATTTTCATAGGGTATAGAAACTACAGAAACATGACATTTGGTATATATTGAAGGGACATAATAATAATAATAATAATAATAATAATAATAATAATAATAATAATAATAATAATAATAATAATAATAATAATAATAATAATAATAATAATAGAACAGATAGAATTGGTGGGAAATAATAGTAGAGTCAATAGAATTGGTTTGACTTGCTGTTTTGCTTCTGTAAGAATTGCTTTGCTAAGAATTAGAACTGCCTCTGCCATTTGTTTCTACCAGTGATCTCACTTCTTTGTTATGTTTTTTGGTATCATTCTGTACCTGGTGGATAGCTCAAGAAGTGGGGTTGCTAAGCACCCACCCACCCCCTTTCCTTGCTGCACTGCCAAAGGAAGGGATGGGCCAGGGGGCCAGAATTGGGTACTAAGCTAATGCTTCTGAGGGTATAAAAAGGACGCCATACCTTCTCCAAGGTGTGGTTATCTCCTCACATGCATTGTATCTGTGATATAGTCCCACCCAGCATTTTGTTTTTGGCCATAAATAAAATCTTCTTTTTGCAAGCCTCGTCTTGAGTCTCTTTTTTTGGCATTCTGGTGACTCAAGTACATTTTGGGACTTTACATATAATACATTAGAAAGCAAGTCAAACAATAAAAGACATTGATCAATCAATCAGAGTAGAGCTGGAAGGGACATTCTAGATCTAGTCCAACCTCCTGTTTAAGCAGGAGACCCTATATTATTTCAGTCAAGTGACTGTCCAGTCTCTTCTTAAAAATTTCCAGTAATGAAGCACCCACAACTTCTGACAGCAAACTGTTCCACTGATTAATTGTCCTCACTGTTAGGAAGTTTCTCCTCAATTCCATGTTACTTCTCTCCTTGATTAGTTTCCATCCATTCTTGTCCTACCCTTTGGTGCTTTGGAAAATAACCTGACTCCCTTCTCTTTGTAGCAACCTCTCATATACTGAAATACTGCTGTCATGTCCCCCCTAGTCCTTCTTTTCTCTAGACTAGCCAAATCCAAATCCTGTTCTTCATATATTTTAGTCTCAAAGCCTTTAATTATCTTACTAAAAGACTTAAACAATAGAAAAGACTGATTCTAGTGTAAGGTCCCCCGAGCCACTGAAATGCCAAAGAGAGTGAGACTCAAGAGGAGGCTTGCAAAAAAATATCAGCTGTTTATTCTTTGGCCAAAGTAAAAAGTCTGGGTGATTCTATTTCCAAAACACAGGCAAAAGCATGTAAGGAATAGACACACACTGCAAGAGTGGCTCAGAGTATTATATACATTTTATGCCGATAGAAACAAAGTTTATCCCATCAGACAAAGCTTCATCACCAACATGATCTTGCTTTGTTCAGGCCTCTGTCTCTGCCCATGCTTTACTATCTTACAGAGTATTCCTTGTCCTTGTGTGTTCAGGCTCCTAGACAGGCCCACCCCCTTATCTATGGAGCAGGATGTTCCTGGGAACTGTCTCCAAGGATGTGCCTAGCTCTGAAACAAATGACAGAAGCAAGAAACCAGATAGAAAAGATACAATTCTCTTACAGAATGAATTCCTAACAAATGATTCCCAACCATAGCAAAATAGTACAAGCAACTTCTTTAACAGAAACAAAGAGCAAAGGTTAGATTGATTTGTATCAATATGGCCTTTCATTTTCCTCCCTTTTCTTATGTCAGGATGCTTCCTGTCAGTGGTGAAATAGGGGAGCATTTCAGGACCATGAGTTTTGCTGATCTAAGGGGAGGAGTCAGTGGACACTGAGGAGGCCAAGACTGCCATCCCAGTGATGGGAGATGATCCATATGCTGGATCAGAGGGATGAAACGGGAGAAGAAGGAGATCTGCAAAGGCTAAAAACACTAGAAACCGAATCCTTTTCCAGTGGGAGAAGATACTGCCAAACCAGTTGAAGTCAACTGCCCCAGTCCAAGTCTGCACCAGTATGTGGGCAGGCCACTCATTGTAGATCCGTGGCTGGCTTCCACATAAACAGGTGTACCCAGTCTTTCACCTTGTTATATGGAAAAACAATACACATGCTCCATACCAACAGCTAGGCAATTGCACATAGGCGAACTTTCCACATATCCAATATAAGCCATCTGTAGCATGCCAATTAAGAATTTTATTACCCACATCCGTCCATAACCACTCAGTCTAGGTGCATTTTCAAAAGGGTTACTAGGTTGTCAGGTTAATTCCAGATTGAAAGGTTACATTAAGCAATGAAAAGACCCTTGTAATATATGGTTTTTCAGATTAATCATTGCATTATATTCTCCTATTAGTTCTACCCATAAGAAAATTATAACCATTGCATTAAATCGAAACATCCTATATCTTTAGGGATTATGATATCACTATCTCCTAGGACTACTGTGTTCAAGTTTAGTTTAGTTTAGTTTAGTTTATTTGATTTGTATACCGCCCTACTCCTGAAGGACTCAGGGCGGTGAACAGCCAACAATAAAATACATAGATACACAAAATTTAAAAACCAGATAAAATCAAATTAAATCATTTTGGCCCAGACAGATTAAAACACCCCAATAATTTAAAAACAGATTAAAATTTAGATATTTAAAAAGGGAAGAGATTAGGCCAAGCCCGCCTGATGGAATAAAAAGGTCTTTACAGCGCGGCGGAAGGTGCGCAGATCCGGGATCCTCCGTATCTCCGGGGGGAGCTCATTCCAGATAGTAGGTGCCCCCACAGAGAAGGCTCTCCCCCTAGGGGCCGCCAGTCGACACTGTTTGGCTGGCGGCACCCAGAGGAGTCCCTCTCTATGAGAGCGTACTGGTCGGTGGGAGGCTATTGGTGGTAGTAGGCGATCCCGTAGATAACCAGGTCCTAAGCCATGGAGCGCTTTAAAGGTGGTAACCAAAACCTTGAAGCGCACCCGGAAGACCACCGGGAGCCAGTGCAGCTCGTGCAGGAGAGGTGTTACATGGGAGCGCCATGTCGCTCCCATTACCACCCGCGTGGCTGCACTCTGCGCCAGTTGGAGCCTCCGGGTGCTCCTCAAGGGGAGCCCCATGTAGAGAGCGTTGCAATAGTCCAGGCGGGAGGTGACGAGGGCATGAGTGACCGTGCGTAACGAGTCCCGATCCAGAAAGGGATGCAACTGGCGGATCAGGCGAACCTGATGAAAAATCCTCCCGGTCACGGCCATCAAGTGCTCTTCTAAAGACAGCCGTGAATCCAGGAGGACGCCCAAGTTGCGAGCCCTCTCCGTGGGGGGCCAATGATTCACCCCCAATAGTCAGTGATGGCATCAACTGACTATATCGGGACGTCGGAAACCACAGCCACTCGGTCTTGGATGGGTTGAGCCTGAGCCTGTTCCTCCCCATCCAGATCCGTACGGCCTCCAGGCACCGGGACATCACTTCAAGGGCATCGTTGGGGTGATCCGGGGTGGAGATGTACAGCTGGGTGTCGTCAGCATACTGATGGTACTCCACCCCGAAACCACGGATGATCTCGCCCAGCGGCTTCACATAAATGTTGAACAGGATAGGCGAGAGGACCGACCCTTGCGGTACCCCACATATGAGGGGCCTCGGGGTCGACCTCTGTCCCCCTGTCAACACAGACTGCGACCGGTCAGAGAGAAAGGAGGAGAACCACCGCAACACAGTGCCTCCCACCCCTAACTCTTCCAACCGGTGCAGCATGATACCATGGTCGATGGTATCAAAAGCCGCTGAGAGATCTAACAGGACCAGGACAGAGGAGCACCCCCTGTCCCGAGCCCTCCAGAGATCATCAACCAACGCGACCAATGCCGTTTCCATGCTGTACCCGGGCCTGAAGCCCGACTGGAACGGATCCAGATACGTCGTTTCATCCAGGTGCTGGGGGAGCTGTTGCGCAACCACACTCTCAACAACCTTTGCCACAAAACGAAGGTTGGAGACCGGATGATAATTTACCAACATTGCCGGGTCCAGGGAAGGCTTCTTGAGGAGAGGCCTCACCACCGCCTCTTTCAAGGCGGCAGGAAAGACACCCTCACTCAGAGAAGCATTTATAATCCCCTGGAACCAGCCTCGTGTCACCTCCCGAGAAGCCAGCACTAACCAGGAGGGACACGGATCCAATAAACAAGTGGTCGCGTTCAGTCTACCCAGAATCCTGTCCACGTCCTCAGGGGTCACAGGATCAAACTCATCCCAGATAACATTCTCAAGACCTGCCCCAGTCCTTCCCCCTGAGACTACCCAATCGGAGTCCAGATCTTCCCGAATCTGAGTGATTTTGTCATACAGATATTGAACAAAATCCTCAGCTCTACCCTCCAAGGGGTCCTCCCGCGCTTCCTGGTGGAGCAGGGAGCGGGTCACCCTAAACAGGGCGGCCGGGCGATTATCTGATGACGCAATAAGAGCAGCAAAATAGCTACATTTCACTGCTTTTATCGCCACTAGGTAATTCCTAATATGAGATCTTACCAGTGTCCGGTCAGATTCAGAAAGACTGGCCCTCCAACTACTCTCTAGGCGTCTTTTCCGGCGCTTCAACTCCCTCAGCTCCTCAGTGAACCAAGGAGCTAAATGAGATCGGTGCCGGGTCAGAGGTTGATCAGATTAAAGGCCCCAATTCTTATACATTTAATC